GACATTTAAGAAGATGGAGTTCTGAAGTTCGTTTGATGTGCTCTGTTAATAATGAGAAGGATTGAACATAGTGGCCTGTATTCGCTTCAAGGGAAGATAGTAATGGATTTTGCAGTTGAGACATTGGATTCATCTAATCGAGAATTGGAATTGCAACATATGCAATTGGGGGTACATTTATGATAAGATTCCTGGCAGATGCGCTTAGTATGATAAATTACCTGGTGAATAAATCCCCATTGAAAACGATTAGATGCTTGAGTCTCGAATTAGTATGGCCAGATAACGTTGCTAATTATTTTGTTCTTATATTACTTGGTTATCCATGTTATATTTGAGAGAGTGATGATAGGCTCAATGGGAGGGTATGAAAGTATATATATGCACAAGTTGTGATGCTTGGAATTACATTCACATATTGCCAGTAGGGAAATTAAACTGGACAAGTCTCTAGTACTTTTGTGTGGGAGTGGCTGTGGTAGTATTTGGGATAATTATCCAAAAAGTCTAAATTTATTGTGTGTTAGCCAATCCAATACCGAACCTTTCAATTTAGCCAATTTAGTTATGAACCTTTTAATGATTTCCCAATATAATTATTTAGACCAATTTTAATTGAAAATCGATGATGCAGATGCCATTCGTTCTACGTGGCATAATTGGCGCTGATGTAGACAATTTTTATAATTTTTTTAATAAATTTCATGATTTTTTTATTTTTTTATCTTTATTTCTTTTCTTTTATTTATTATCTATTTTTTTAAAATTTTATTTTTCCCCAATGGACCTGTGGGGTTGCTGGGGCCTCGGCAATTGCCGGCGACCCTCACCGGTGGCAGGCAAGGGCCTCAACGCCCTCACCCAGTGTTGGCCGCGACATCCCTCTCCCGTGGCCGGCTAGGGCCTCGCAACCTAGGCCTGTGACCGGCGAGGGTTGCCGGCCCTTTGGTGAAGGAAAATAGTGAAAAATAAAATGAAAAGAAAGAAAAGAAAAGGAAAAAGGAAAAAGAATAAAAAAATTTTAAAAAAATTCATAACTTTTTTAAAAAATTGCAAAAATTATTTACGTCAGCGCCAATCATACTACGTAGGACGATCGGAGATCATGTCATCAATTTCGGACCAAAATTGGCCGAAATGACTAAATTAACAAATCGTCAAAAGATATAGGACTAAATTTGCAAAATCGAAATGTTTAAAACTGAATTGGCTGCCGTACAATAATTTTAAAACTTTTTGGACAATTTTCCCGGCATTATTCATATGGATCTTGACGTTGTGTAGCTCAAGATGGAGTTGTAACTAGTATCTCCTGAGGTAGTCGGTACTAACGCTACTAGCACGATAATGGACACAAACGGTGCCGATAGTGAGTTGAAGCTTGCATAGCCATGGGTTGTTTTTAACTGTTGTGTTTGATAGGATGTGGATTCTATCTTTCTGACGTGTTGATATAACGGTGGTTTTTCTTAATCTGTTGTAGGGAAAGTTTTGTTTGAAATCCTTGTCAAGAAGCCAACACTGCAGGTGGAATCGACATTCTGATGAGGTTCGCGATTAGATTTCACGACGGGGGGATTTAGTTTTGACAAATCTTGCGATAATATTTAAATTATATATGGGTAATTAAATTTCAAATATATTGAAGGATGTCACATTTGTTGAATGCTTTAGGTGTCCCTATATCTTATTGTTAGCGGTTAAAATTAGGATTAATACCACAAAAAATCCAAATTATGCCCACTGTGACACAAATACCTTGATTTTTTTTGGGCAAAAGGACACTATAACTGCCATAACTTGTGTACGGGGATCACTTTGGTGCCATAACTTTTTTTCGGATCACTTTGGTGCCAAGTCGGAGGAAAAACGATCACTTAAGTATCATAAGTTTTTTTTGGATCACTTCAGTGCTAAAATTTTTGAAAAACGATCACTTAAGTGCTAAAATTTTTTAAAAACGATCATTTAAGTGCTAAAATTTTTGAAAAACGATCACTTAAGTGCCAATCTCCGGCGAGCCACGTCAGCTTCAGAAATTAATAAAAAAAATGCCACGTCGGATTTCCGGCAAAAAATTGTGTACGGCACCGGAGTTGGCACTTAAGTGATCGTTTTTCAAAATTTTTAGCACTTAAGTGATCGTTTTTCAAAAATTTTAGCACTAAAGTGATCCAAAAAAAACTTATGGCACCAAAGTGAGCGCCGTACACAAGTTATGGCACTTGTAATGTTCTTTTGCCTTTTTTTTTTGTGTCACTAAAAATCATAAACTTGCCTGTTGTGACACAATACCCCAAACTCCTTTTTATGACATAAAAAGCTTCGGACTTATACTTTGGATGGAACTGAAATATAGTGTATATATGTCACACATGTATAAGTTTGGATTTTTTTTGTGACACAAAAAAATGTTAGGGTATTTGTGTCACAATGGGCTAGTTTAGGGTTTTTTCGTGAGAGAGAAAAAAAAGTTTGGATTATTTGTGTTACGTGGACAAGTTTAGGGTTTTTGGTGACACAAAATTTTTTTGGAGTATTTGTGTCACATTAGACATAGTTTGGGGTTTTTTTTTTTGGTATTTGCCCTTAAAATTAACATGTTCTAATGGTATAGTTTGTCGGGGTAACACAGGAAGCTTTCTTCAGTATTGTACTTATAATAAGGTTTCACAATGTCCAAATTAAGTACGATTGATAACAAAATTAGGTACAACATCACTTTCAACTTTACATGCTACTGAGTATACGTGTTATTAAGTATATCAAAGGCCGCATCCATCTCTCTCAGTTTTTATTAATAAAAACAGTAACTTAGGAAAATGACTTCCAAAAATGTGATTAGATGAAACAAATATTAATGTTCGAAAGGAGCCAATCTTCTCTGCAAATTTGACATTAGCAGGAAATTGCTCAACAAATCAAAACGAAAGCTTATAAGACATCTTTTTCAAGTAACAAACACTAGTCAGGAAATCATTCAGATCTACTTCAATCTGAAATGAAAATTGTCAAAAAAGAAATGATGGACAAGACATCTCAACTCAATAAAACAGTTTAGTAATTTACCTATGTCAAGAAAAAAGTAATATATATCATCGAAAGAAAGTCGGACACGAGAGACGATCTACAAATTTTCTCCTGATGAAAAGTGGAGCTGTCGTTATAAATTTCCCTGTAAAAAGGAGGGAGAAAAACATTGAAAAAAGTCGGCTCAAAGCCTCGCTCTTGAGGATTGGACCCCCCTCCGGTGGTTGAGAAGCCAAATTGTACCGTGGGAGAGTAGCATTAGTGAAGCTATTGTAACTTTGTTCAACGTCGAGTCACTGTAGAAATTATTAAAAATATGTCTTGAGTTTGACCTTGACCCTGATCAAAATGTGTGGCGATCCGACCCGTATAAGAAAAGTCCAAAGTGATCCTCGTTGCCCAATCTTGGAGGAGGTAAAAATCATGGAAACATATTCCGTCTTGAAGTTGTATTCCTGTTTTTGGTTGGCCAAGGATTTTACAATATGGGACTAGTTCGTCTTTTTTGATACGAGCGAGTTGATAGATCTTTACTTTTAAAATTTTGCCTAGCTTAAATGTTGCGACACATGCACTTTGATTTTTTTTAAAATTCTAAACACTTGAAACTTTTATAATATATAAATATAAACATATAAATTCATAGTTTGGTTGTGTAGTTCTCCGTCTTGTTCCTTGCTTAGTTGTTTGTAGGTCTTTTGGTTAGCCTTGTTGAGTGACCCCCCCCCCCCCCCCCCCCTCTCTTTCATTCGGGGCCCTGGGTTGTCTCTTGTGTCTTGTATAGTCCTTGCTGGACCTCTCTTGACCCTATCTGGACAGGTTATGTCCTAATAGGGTCAGGACTTGGTTTGAGCTTTAGCTTGTATTTGGTGTTTGAAAAGTTATATATACACTTACCTTTACCAAAAAAAAAAACATATAAATTCATAGATATTTTTTTTGATAATTTTTTGAAATTTAAATGATATTCTACACTACGATGGAAAAATAAAAAAAGCATTTAAACTTTCGTCCTAAACGAGCAAGCCCTTACACGTAACTCAAGGGTTTAGGCATAAAGTGACGTGCGTGTGCATGCAACTAGAGTGGCGCAACTTCTCGTGGGTCATATGCGAGGGTCGTCATGATTCCACTTATATCCTAGAGTGTTTTGAAATGGGACAAGTACAAAAAAAAATATTTAAACCTATTGCATTGATATCAATTCAATTATCAATCTTTCAATTGGAGCATAATCCTAAACTTTTTCACATTGGTACCAGTCCAGTCCATCCGACTAATATACGTCAGAAATCGCTAATGTGGATGCTGGCTGTTCTACATGGCATGGCTAGCATTGACATGGACAAATTTTTTAAATTTTTTTCCTTTTTTTTCTTCTTTTTTCCTTTTCTTTCCTTTAGCAAGTGGCCGGTACTGGGCCATGGTCGGTCCAAACGAGGGCGTCGCGGCCCTCATCGGCTTTGGCAAGAGCTAGACCTTCTCGACCCTGGTCGAGAGGGTGGCCCTCATTGGATTCGACAAGGGCGACCCTTGCCTAGGCCACTAGGGTCAAGCCCTTGCCAAATCCGGTGGCCGGTCATAGCTGAGTACCGACCATAGGCCCAAGGAAAGAGATGGAAAGGAAAAAAAGGAAAAAAAAAATAAAAAAAGAGAATTTAAACAAATAAAAAATTCAAAAAAAATATTTAAATATTTAAAAAGTTGTCAATATGGCAGCCTTGCTACGTAGACGGCCAATGTCCACGTCAGCAATTTCTGGCATAAATCGGCTAGATAAATTGAATTGGTACTAATGTGAAAATGTTTAAGATTAAATTGATTTAATTGAAAGATTTAGTTGGAATTTGTACCAATGCAATAAGTTTATACCTTTTTTAGTACTTTTCCCATTTGCAGGTAAATCACATTTTCTAAGACACCCAGAATGTCCGTCAGAGTTAAGAGTTAAATCAAAACTATGGTTTTGTGAAAACTACATGATAGATAGATCAAGTATTCCGTATGCCATGTCAAAATTTATGTAAAAATAAGGGGGCACGACAAAAAAACGATCTCTTAGAGTGTGAAATTTGCCAACGAAACAACCGACTGCATGGATGGTTTGCCAGCTCATGTTTTGTTTTTGTCGTCAAATATTGCTGAAACTTGAACAGAATTGCAATCAACCTAATTGCTATTATCATTCCTTGTAATTTGCAGCATATAATGTTGCGGTTATAGTAGAGAGAAACATGTATGTGCTTAGTGTCTGACATCATTGCTTCTATTTGGGATGTCTATTTTAATTCTCTGAAGTGGAACGATGAAGATGACCATAGTCACGGCTTCAAGATGAAGACCGTGAGCTTTTGTGGGGTTGGGGGGAGAGAGAGAGAGAGGCAACACAAGGAAAATGAAGAATAGGACAAATTTTCTTAATTAGAGAATGGATAAAGGGTTATTTGTGGGAGTTTTTCCAGTGCATTTAAAGGGAACTTTTTGTGGCATTCTGTATGATTCACAACAGTCGGATATTCATCGAGACTTTGTTGGTCTTAGATGAATCTCTTTCTCTGTCCTTTAAATTTTAGGTGGATGAGTGCCCGGACATCCCCGGTGCACCTTGATGGATTCTTCCTGCGCTTGCGTCTTGAAAAGTGGGAAGAAGGACTTGGAGGAACTGGTTATTATGTAGCTTGCATAACTGGTACTACTCAAAATCACTCTTTTCATCTGTTATATTTCATATATGCTGTCTAAGTTATGTTCTGAATGCACATGTTCCGCATCCGGATGCTGTCGCCTGTTGTGAATCCATCTGCTGTCTCCATCTTGAGATTGTGATATGTGTCCACTCAATTCTAGACCTCGCCACATCCAATCTAAAACCTACAAAACCCTAGTTTTCTCTCTTCCCTCTTTCTCCTCCTTTACCCCCTCAACTGCTTCCATGCCCAACCGCCACACTGCTGCCTGCCGTCACCACTGCTGAAGTTGCCAATGCCACACTCAGAACCGGCTACTGCCACATCTCGGGACACATAGCCGCCATCCAACTGCTGTCACTGCTCCGTCTTTTTCCCCATTCACCCCCTCATTTGTTCTTGCCCTCATCTGTCTTTCATTTTTTTATTTTCAAGCTTACAAACGTCGCTCGACCTCGCCGTCAAACCCTGCAGCCATGGTCAAGTTGCCGCTGCCGCAAGATCTAGAGGTGTGCCTCCAGATCTGGAGGCTCGGCATCCAGGGCTGAGGCGTAGCTCACACCTAGCTCAAACAGAAAAAACAGAGGCAACTTTGCTCGATGCCTGTGTCCATGGCCAAGGCTTAGCTCGAGGCTTAGGCTCTGTCCATTGCCAATGCTTGGCTCGGTGTCCATGGCTCCACATCGGTGGACGAGGCTTAACTTGATGCCGTGTCGAGTGCTGCCATCGGCAGCGATCTCGACGGCGGCATCGAGCTCAAATAGAGAGAGATTAAGAAAGAGGGATGGGGGCATATAGAGGGACATGGGCTGCAGGGACAAAGACCAATTGAGAGGACTTGTCTTAGGGAGTGCAGCAACAGCAGGGCGGCGGATGTCAATGGTGGGGTTGGGGGCTGCAGTGGCTCAGGCAGTGGAGAAGCATGGGGGGCTCTATCTCTGTACAGAAGGTGGAAGAGAGAGAGAGAGAGAGAGAGAGAGAGATTTTAATGTTTTGATCTACTATGGGTGAGATTAAGGTGTGGCGGAGTGGCTCCACATGTTTTTTTGTGCTTGGAGACAGCAGATGGGACTATAGTAGGAGACAGCATGCATCCAATGCATCAATACCCAAATCTGGGATCCTTACTGGAGGTTTGTGGCATGTGGAACTTAATGTGCAGGAATGCAAAGAGATAATTCATCCGGAAGAAATGCTATTGCTGTGAACATTGGTGGAGTCAAATGTCTCGTTGAAAGTCAATACATCTCCAACTATGATTTTCTTGAGGTAATAACTCATTCATCCTTCACGAATTTCCCTGGGTGCTTTCTTTTTTTCCTCTTTTTCTTTTCATTTTTCATAAATTGTCAGAGGAACTTCCTCAGGTATTTTATGAGGTTTGAAGGCATCCATCACGATAAAGTTGAATCCACTCTGGAATTTAGCTACGCTTCTGTTGTTTCTCGTCTTGTTTCATCCATTCTATGGCAGGCATAGTATTAACCGACAATTGATTTTCCAATTGCACTTAGCGTGGTGAATAGTTGTGCTACGTGGGTATCTATAACACAAATGAATCTTGTTATAGAATGGTTATTTTGATGATTTATAATCGAGCGAGACTGACATTTCCTAAGATTAATTTAATTTGTTGAAGGTCAACCATGAAGGTGATTTTTTTTAATCATGGCAACAGGGGGTATAGAACGAGAAATGATTGCACGTGATGAATCTTGAGCTTTATAGAATGAGAAATGATTGCACGTGATGAATCTTGAGCTTTATAGAATGAGAAATGTTTGCGCGTGATATTGGTGAATTTCATAAAGTCTCAACTTCTTCGAGGAAAAGGTCGGTCTACATAAAGAACATAAATGGACGGAACAGGCAACATCATCATTTGATCATGTTGCGGAAGCCAAGCGATCAAACAATAAATTTTGACAGAATAAGAAAATAAATCGGACACCAGATTTACGTGGTTCGGTCGTAGTGACCTACGTCCACGGGGAGAGCAGCATGGAATTTCACTATAGATCAAGCGATACAACGGAGATTATAACCACACTCGAGTCACTCAAACACTCTAAGTGTTTCCCAAGCCCCAATTACACCCAATAACTCACACAGTGTTTAACCCCACAATTCCTCACGAAATAATCTCTCAATCTCGCAAAATAATTGTACACAAATCTTAACACAAGATTTAATCGCTACTAACACTTGAATTCTTGATGTAATTTCACGAAGAAAATCCCACGCCAAGCGCTCGACGAAACAGAGCTTCAAGACTCAAATCAACGGCGGCACTTCAAGACTTCTTCGTAACCAACGAAACAACCCACTGCCCACGCTTATCAACAACGGCGTGCGTGCAAATCCTGCAATGCAATATTACATATATATGCCCAAGAAAAGGATGCCCAGGCTGACTCAATTTATGAAGGAAATAGTGCAGCTCGGTCAAACCCAAGTCCACGTTGGACTTTCTCCTTTCCTTTTTTTTATTTCTTTCCTTGGACGATTTGCTTTCCTTTCGTATTTGCTTGGCCGACAATCTCTTCCACACAAATATATTATCAAGACAAAATAGGAAAGCTTTTCCTTTTTTTTTTCTTCTTTCTCCGATGCTGGACAGGAAATCTATATTTCCATAGTAGAGGTCCACATATAATCAATTTCGGACTTTCCTTTAATATATTTTGGATCGGGTTTCGTTTAATAGGCTCAAACTCGAGACATATTTTCAACAGATCAGAACATCATATTTAAGGAGATGAGTCTGTGAACCTTCAGAATTTTCATTTTATGGAAGTGGCTCATATCTCAACAGAGTATAGAAGCCTATGAAAGGCATGGATGAAGTGTCATACTTATATCGACTGATCAATCTAATTATATCGAGGCTCCATGCTTAGTATTTTGCTATTGGTTTTGTCGGTGGTCTTGCGGGTCGTTTAATAGCTATATCATCGACTATGTCCAACGGCTAAATGATGCTTTCGCATGCTAAGCTTTTTCTACTAGCTGACTACGCTTTCTCTAAGAAGTTATAAGGCTGGTAGGGATTGAAGTTTGTGATGATCTCGTCTACCGTTTTTTAGCCCATTGGATTGCAAATGAGATGCTCGACAGAAGAAAGGCTGAGAAGAAAGAGGATTATTGTTTGACAGGACGCTCTTCTTTTTGCTCTTTTTTCTAATCCATTTCCTTTGCCTATTACTGCTCGACAAAAAATTTTCCTTACCAAAAAAACTTCCTCAGGAATTTTATGAGTTTTGAAGGCATCCATCATGACAATGTTAAATCCACTCTGGAATTTACCTACGCTTCTGTCGTTTCCCGTCTTGTTTCATCCATTCTATGGCAGGCATAGTATTAACCGACAATTGATTTTCCAATTGCACTTAGCGTGGTGAATAGTTGTGGTACGTGGGTTTCTATAACACAAATGTATCTTGTTATAGAATGGTTATTTTGATGATTTATAAACAAGCGAGACTGACATTTCCCAAGATTAATTTAATTTGTTGAAGGTCATCCTTGAAGGTGATTTTTTTTAATCATGGCAGCAGGGGGTATAGAACGAGAAATGATTGCACGTGATGAATCTTGAGCTTTATAGAATGAGAAATGTTTGTGCGTGATATTGGTGAATTTCATAAAGTCTCAACTTCTTCGAGGAAAAGGTCGGTCAACATAAATAACATAAATGGACGGAACAGGCAACATCATCATTTGATCAGAACATCATATTTAAGGAGATGAGTGAACATCATATTTAAGGAGATGAGTCTGTGAACCTTCAGAATTTTCATTTTATGGAAGTGGCTCATATCAACAGAGTATAGAAGCCTATGAAAGGCATGGATGAATTGTCATACTTATTGACTGATCAATCTAATTATATCAAGGGTCCATGCTTAGTATTTCGCTATTGGTTTTGTCGGTGGGCTTGTGGGTCGTTTAATAGCTAAATCATCGACTATGTCTGACAGCTAAATGATGGTTTCGCATGCTAAGCTTTTTCTACTAGCTGACTGCGCTTTCTCTAAGAAGTTATGAGGCTGGTAGGGATTGATGTTTGTGATGGTCTCGTCTACCATTTTTTAGCCCATTGGATTGCAAATGAGATGCTTGACAAGAGAAAGAGGATTATTGTTTGACGGGACACTCTTCTTTTTTCTCTTTTTTCTAATCCCTTTCCTTTGCCTATTACTGTTCATAGGATGAGTTAATGGCCTGGTTGTGTATGACGTCCCGAGCCGGCGGCAAGATTCCGACTGAGGAAAATCTGAGGATGAAAGTGGAGGAGAAGAAGAGGCTCGGGTTTTGAAGCGCTCGTGCCATCTCAGGAGCCATCTGAGTTTTCACCAAATGAAGATTTGAAGACGGGACGAAGTCAAAATCCGACTTGTATATAGAATTTTGACGTTTGCTTAGTTGCTCAAAGAATTTTCTGCATTCATCCGAATAAAGAATTTTTTTTCATATTGTTATTGGAGTCTCACAATCTTTCGGAAGCTCCGTGACTTATTGGACGGGGTTGGAACCTACCTCGCTGTTAGAATGTTTTGTTCGCTAAGTGAGTCTGTCCCAGCTTTGCCAGATTGGGACCGACTCCAAGGATGTTTATTGAAATACCGTACATTGTGAAGGATGAAATTGATGCGTTTATTTTTCGGAAAATAAATGATTTGAAAAACATTTTTTGAAAAATAATCGTTTCTATCGTTTACAAAAATAATTTAATAGAAATTTTTTTCATCGTTCATGAACATAGTTAGACACAAATTGTTATTGATGATGAATATATTTTTAATTGACTAATTTTTTTAATCGATATAAGTAATTATTTTATGAATAATATTTTTCAAATTTATTATTTTTCGTCAAACGAACGAGAGAGCTCAGAATTTTCTTTGGGACTCGAGTAGTAAGTTCTCAATAGGATGTGGTAATAAAATGACACGTTATCACACACTAAAGTCTAACGAGAGGATAAGCGCTGAATCAATATAATCAATACACGTAAACTCAATAAAGGACTTCTATTTAGTAGGGTTCGACACTCTTCCTGTAGATACTAGAGACTAGAGAGAGCACAGAGAGCTCTCACACCCTAATAGTCCTCTCTCACATGGTAAATTATTGGCTGCACCAACGGAACATATAGGTCGAGTGTAGGCGATTCGCCGGGTCACGTGGGTTTTGGGGTGCCACCACATGATTTATGGCCTAATTCAAAAAAAAAAATCAACTTTAAATCGAGTGACAATTCTGACTTTAATTTTTTTTATATCTCGTGAAAAATCACAAACTTTCATTTAAATCTCAAATCTGGCTCCCTTTAACTTAAAACCATTAATTGTCTAACTTGTCTATGATACCTCAGAAATAAATTCACATTGCTTGCTGACTGGATTTAAATCACTAGCCATTGTCTTCTTTTTCGAGCCACAGTTTGAAGAATAATGATGAAATAGTTCATTATCTCCTTTACTTCAATGGCAAGTCAAAAGATCTTCAGATTAAATCTCTCCGTCCAGACTCCTCTAGTTTGTCGTAATCTGAAGCTGAAGACCACCGCTCGTCGAGAGACACCATGAACGAGATCCACCAAGCTCATGACCATAACCTTTTTCTCAAACAAGAATGACTTTAGACAAAAAGTCAACAAAGGGTCAAATTTGTCACGGTATATCAATTTGAGGTTTTTTGTTCTATTAACCTAACTTTTATTTGTAGCACAGTGTCTGCATGCAGAGTACATCAAGTTCTGCAGGTTACACACACGTAGAACCCCGTTATAGAAGATAAAAAAACTTTTATTCATTGCACACAGTGTCCGCATGCGCGGTACATCGAGTTGCGCACAGCTCTCGCACAATCTTGTTACATACTCCAACCACACACAATGGAAAGCAATATCAAACTGGAAAGGAAATAAACGACGTGAAAACGCGACTGAGCTGAGCAGTCCGTGTTTATTCTGGAGCGCTAAACGAAGGCGTTGGGCTCGGTGGCCTTATTAGCTGGTCAATGGTTAACATGGCAGCACTTGAAGGCGGTGACGGTCTCCATGTTCAAAGTGCAATTGGCGTTGGGGCACCTGAGGCGCTCCGGCATGTTGCCCACCATGTTGGGGATCTTGAATTTGAGGCATTTTGGCTTGACAACCTTCTCGTAGTACGCTTGGCACTGGGTGTAAAAATCCTGTTTGTTAGTCCCCTCCTTGATCCACTCCTTGTGCTGCGACAGCACTGTCAGGAGACTCGTGAGACTAGTGTTGATGATCACGCTCGACCCCTCCATGATGATGGCGAACCCGCTTTTCTTCTTATAAGCTCGTGTAGACCTTGAGCTGCTCCAGCGTCAGTGGATCGGACATCTCCGTACTCACCTGCATCTTGAAGGATATGCAGTTCTCAAGGCGGGAATGGAATAGCTTTCTCTTGGTGTTGACGTTGAAGAACTTGAAGCTGAAGGAGAGGCAGCTTTTGATCTCGCTCAGGTAGTTTTCAATCTCTGTGACCTCGGAGTCTTCAGCCGAGCCGTACAAGAATATGAGCTCCTTGTTGTCAAACTGGCCAACAATCAAGACACAAGACATGTCGAAAGAACAAGATTACAAATCGATAAATTCAGGAAATTCTTAATCTATCTTGCATATGATTCTTGTGTGAATTCGATATGTGCGGCATTAGATGTATCTAAAATTTTAGATTGGGTAATTTTTACACGAAGTCTGCAATAATCTATCTTGCGTATGATTCTTGTGTGAAGTTCTTTTGACTATAGTGTGCGAGTTTGTGCTTGGCCGAGCGTGTTAAATACTTAACCACTTAATAATCTTGTCGGACGAAATTAGAACAGAGGCTGTGTCTTCCTTCGTCCCTACTTGGAGGAAGATCTCCAACTAGACTTTGATTGTTATAACTTCAATGTAAACTGAACTAGAAATAAATTTGAGTGATATGTCTAGATTTGTAAGGCACCGATCAAAAGTCTGGTAGGAAGAAGGTCCATCCAACTAGGGATGGATAATAAAAATATGGCACACATAATCCAAATCATACTGCATTGGTAACTTACGCTTTGTTCGACAGATTGGAAGACCGTGTTGTTCACCACTGTTGACACCTATTTTAATTGGCCCAAAAATTAATTACAAAAAATTTAGGAATTAATTTTCTTTAATTCCTAAAACAAAAAAATATTTCTATTTAAATACATTGCATATAGAATTTAGGCACATTTGTATTAATAGGGTCTATTAGAATGTTTAAAAAAATTTAAATAAAAAAAAACGAACGAGTCGGGCCGGGTCGGGGCTGGGCCAACCCGGCCCTTTTTCCTTTTCCTTTTTTCCCCCACATGGGCCCAGCCCGCTTTTTCTTTTTTCTTTCTTTCCTCCGCGCGGCTGGGCCTGGCCCGGCCCAGCCCCTTCTGCTCCTTCTTCCTCCCCCCGCCGAGCGTCGCTGTCCTTCCCCTGTTCTCCCCTGCTGCTGACGCAGAAGCGATGAGCGGCGGAGCGGCCTCACCCCGTCCCTATCCGGCCAGAGCAGGCCGAGGCAGCACGCCACAGGGACTGGCCATTAAGGCCAGTCCCGTCCCCCCCGTTTTCCCGGGCCTCCCTTATCTCCTTCTCCCTCTCTTCCCCCTATTTCTCTGCTCTGCCGTCTCAGAGCCTCCCCCTGCTCTGCATTGGCCTAAGTGGCCACGAAGTCACGGGCCAGCGTAGGCCGGTGCAGGCTGTCGTCATGCAGACGCAACGGAGCAAAGAGACGCGTCGTCGTTGGCTATATATAGCCAGAGAGAGAGAGAGAGAGGCCGGTCGGCCATTTTGGAGAAAAACATAGAGAGAGCGTGAGAGTGTGAGCCGAGAGAGAAAGAGAGCTTCCGGCGGCCACCGCGCCTCAGCTTCAGCCATCCATCCCCGCCGCCGAGCCAACGGCAGCGACACAGAGAGCCAGAGAGCCTGGGTCGGCCATTTTGAGAGAGAAACAAAGAATAGAGAGAGAAGAGAGAGAATAGAGAGAGAGAGAGCGCAAACAGAGGTCACGCCGGAGCCAAAAGAGAACCAACAGTGGTCGTCGATGTCCCCAGACCAGCCGTAAGCCCCTCAGAAGCGTCGCCAACCGGTGAGCCCCCGGCCGAGAACCGCCTCTGTTTTCCCCTGTTTTCCGGCGTGGTTGGGCCGGGACTCGCGCCGGCCGTTTCGCACGAATCCCGGCCCATACCGACGTCGGTCCCGGTCCCTGCTCTCCGTCTGAAGCGAACCATAGCCGTCGGAGCCGACCAGGTCGCCGGAGGAGGTCGAAATCTTCTGATTTTCATCGCGCACGCCAAGTGCTCGATGAAATGCTTCCAAGAGCCGGGTTTGTCTTTGGCCGCCGGCCGGCGATCGAGCAGTCGGACGGCAAGCCTAGTCATCGGAACAGGTAGATGGGGCTTGTGGGGTGAAAACCCAGGCCATGGGTGGCCTGGTTCGTCCGGCGAGATCACCGGATTTCGCCGGCGAAGCTCCCGCGTGCCTAGACACGCGGGAGCCGTCCCCGGACCGACCTGCAACCGGTCCGACCGGCCTGCAAACAGGTCCAATCGGTCTACAAGTATATAGGGCCGGTTTGACCCGGTCGAACCGGCCCTATTTCGTCTTTTTCCACTGGACTGGGACCCAACCGGGCCCGATCCGGTCCAGACCCGGGTCAATGACCCGGGTTGACCCTTTGACCCGGGTCGGATCTAGAAATCCAACCCAGTCAACGTAATGGGTCGGGTCCGTTGATCCGGGTCGGACCTAACCGACCCGACCTGGTTATTATTATATTATTTTATTTTATTTTATATTTTTTAAAAAAAATTAAAAAAAATTAAATTTTCTTTCTTTCTTCTTTTTCTTCTATTTTTTTAAAAAAAAAGAAATTTTCAAATTTTTTTTTTAAAATTTGTGTGATATATTCTAAATGTTTAATTTATTGTAGTATTATTATGCATATTTTTGTCTTGTTTAAATTAGACAAGCCTCAGATTGCGCGGTAATATTTTGCATGTTATTTTTATTATCGTTGTTTTATTATGCATGTTTTTAATACAATCGCATGAGTTGTATTTTGAATGTCATCTGACTTAGTTAAGGTTAGAACCTTAGGCTGCATGAATTGTTGTGTTCTTGACTGCTGATCGTTTCTGATTATGCACTCGCTTGATCACCTCACATGTTAGGAGAAAGGTCCTAAAATCAATCTAAATTGCCTGACAAATGTTTTCATGAAATGAACAGGGTAAAAAGGTACCGAAAGGGCATTAGTTATCCAACTAGTGTAACCAAGTCCCCGAATTTAGTTAATCTTTGGTTCGCAGGAATAGGGTGATTCTCCCATCACCTTATTTGGGTTTCTAATCGACCCACCCCAAATCGATTAGTGACGACTCCTTGGTATAAACCACTTGCATGTTAAATACTTAAACCCTAAGTCGCGATATGGTA